GCATCTTTATAAAGAAGAGTTAACGTTCGAGTCTGGTGACAGTTAGCACTGCTGCCTCACAGCACCAGGGACCCTGTTTCGGTTCTAGTTTTGGGTGTCTGCGGAGTTTGCATGTTTTCTCTGTCTCTGCCTGAGTTTCCTCCGGGTGCTCCAGTTTCCTCCCACAGTCCAAAGATGCGCAGGTTGGGTGGATTGGCCATGCTAAATTGCCCAGAGTGTTCATGGATGTGCTGGCTAGGTGGGCGTGGGAAATGCAGGGTTACAGGGAATAGGGGGTGGGGCTGGGTGAGATTCTGTTCAGAAGGTCGGTGTGGACTCGGGCTGAATGGACTGTACGGATTCTATGATTCAATAAATGCAATAGAAAGTTAGCCCATGGTGACCATGTAACCACTATTGATTGTTGATTTTCTTTTTTTTAAGAAAAAATTCCTCTTATCTGTTCTATAAGCAGTTGGGCTGGGCAATAAATGCGAGTGATGCCAGATCCTATGAATGGATTTTAAAACATTCCAGAGCATTGTCTCCAGTGTGTGGAAAGAAATTAATTCTCAAAAAAGGAACTAAAGAACTGCGGATGTTGGCAACCTGATACAAAAACAGAAATTGCTGGAAAAAGGTGCAAATTGCATAAATAAATTGCAGACCTGGCAGCATCAATGGAGAGAAAACAGAGTCAACATTTCAGGTCACTGATTTATTATGATTTAACTATATACAGTGCACAGACCAAACCATCCCCAACTATTGTATGTAACTTGAAATCAGTTTTTAAAAATCTGTGCTAAGCTGTAAATTCCAGCTTTCCCTCTTTAGATCAAGCAGTCATGATTTTCAAAAATGACTGACCAAAGCAGTCTTTAAATTTCACTTTCAGTAAAGGTCAGCGCTTCCTCATTTTAGGCTTCAAGGTATTGCTTGATCTTTCTGTAGAAGATTTGAAGTTAATGCTGTTGCCTCCAACTTTGACATAGCATGCTGAGATGGGGTAGAGAGCTCAGTAACACTTTGTTGATTCACCAGATTTCCCTGTACCTGAATTGTGGGTATCATTATCGTGTCACCACTTCAGAGGCCAGACAGGATGTGTGCTGCTTGGAACCATTGCATCTGACAGCATAGTCGGCCATTGTTTGTTTGTTGCATCATGTGACGGCTGATGCAAGGATCTATCCAGTTTTGTCCCATATGGTCTCAGCTTCCCCTTCACCACCCTGCAAATCACTGAATGGCTGACCGCACCTGGACTACTGGGGTTTCCGAACTGATTGATACTCCAAGAGGACCTAGGATGCACATTATATTTATCCCAAAAATAAATCAAGTGTGTAGGGGGACAAGCAGGAGATTAGCACATGGTAATGATGCTCATTTAACAAATTGGTGCAGGCAGGATGAGTCAAATTGTCATCCCTTCAGCGCTAACAATTCAGTGATTCTGAAGGTGAAAATATCACCAAAGGTAATCTGCTTCAATATCGTCCTGCGTTCATAATGGCAGAGACTAGAAATAACAAAGAGTAGAAAGCACCAGTGAGAGTAGTTAATAGGCCCCTTAACACTAGCCATTCATAGAATCATACAGTGCAGAAGAGGCCCTTCAGCCCATCAAGTGTGTACCACCAAAATTGTACTACTATCTGGTTTAGTTCCACTTTCCCACAATAGGCCCATAGCCTTGAATGTTATGACACTTCAAGTAATCAACCAAGTACTTTTTAAAGGCTGTGAAGTTTCCAGCCTCAACTACCCTCCCAGGCAGTACATTCCAGAGTTCTGTAAGGCAGACAATAAATCAAGACTTGAGAGGGTAGATTAAAATGCAGTGCATTAAATTTGGATGACTTTAATCTTCATGTATTTTGGGACAATCAAATTGGCAGAAATAGTACTTACTGTCCTTGCTGATTAAAGTTTTCTGATTCTTGTATTAGGAATGAAGGGCAGCAAGATAGTTTTCGAATTTATCTGGTCAATTTTGTGTATCTATAAATAAAAATCAGCATTTCTATGTTCTGTGACTGTGAAGAAATTTGGGATACCCTTTGAAGCAGTGGTCCTCTGTAGTGCTGTGTTCAAAGTCCTAGAGTGGGCTTTAAACCCAGAATCATCAGACTCCGAAGTCAGAGTGTATCCAACAGAGTCTTGTCTTGCACAAATGATATACAGTAGCAAAACTGCTAATAATGAACTGTAAAGTGACTTCTTAAGAAGTAGCAGGTGAAAATTTGAACTTTTTTTAGAAAGCTTTGCAAGATATTTTACAGATACATTTCACTTTTTTTTATGGAACAACAACTATAACACCTTTAATGTAGTCTTTGCAGTGTGTTTTGTCTTTATTAGTTCAACATGCAAATTAAATTTCCCTTCTTCGTTGGAATTTTATGAGTTGACATATCTAGGTGAGCAGTTTTTTGTGCAGTTCATGCTTTAAGCACTCATAGAGAGAAATCTGTTTTCATGGGAGGGAAGATCAGACAGTTGAGCAGATGAATTGATGCCATTATCTTTGCATCTTCTGGTATCATGTATGTAGTAAGTAAACTTCAGTAAGTTTAAAATGACCAAGAAATGAGATAACAAGAGTCCAGAGACAGCATGTTCCTGTCAGGGTGGAGAGCAAGGCTGGTAGGTATAAGGAATGCCGGAGGACTAGAGAAATTGAGGTTTTGGTCAAAAATAAGAAGGAAGCATATGTCAAGTATAGACACCAGAGATTGAGTGACTCCCGAGAAGAATATAAAGGCAGTAGGAGTATACTTAAGAGGGAAGTCAGGAGGGCAAAAAGGGGACATGAGATAGCTTTGGCAAATAGGATTCAGGAGAATCCAAAGGGATTCCACAAATCCTTTAAGGACAAAAGGGTAACTAGGGAGAGAATAGGGCCCCTTTAAAGATCAGCAAGGCCGCCTATGTGTGGAACTGTAGGAGATGAGGGAGATACTAAATGAGTATTTTGTATCAGTGCTTACTGTGGAGAAGGATATGGAAGATATAGAATGTGAAGAAATAAATAGCGACATCTTGAAAAATGTCCATATTACAGAGGAGGTGGTACTGGACAGCTTAAAATGCATAAAGGTGGATAAATCCCCGGGACCTGATCAGGTGTATCCCAGAACTCTGTGGGAAGCTATGGAAGAGATTGCTGGGCTCCTTGCTGAGATATTTGTATCATCGATAGCCACAGATGAGGTGCCGGAAGACTGGAGGTTGGCTAACGTGGTGCCACTATTTAAGGAAAAGCCAGGGAACTGTAGACCGGTGAGTCTGACGTTGGTGGGTGGGCAAGTTGTTGGAGGGAATTCTGAGGGACAGAATTTACATTTATTTGGGAAAACAAGGACTGACTAGGGACAGCCAACATGGCTTTGTGCATGGGAAATTATGTCTCATTAACTTGATTGAGTTTTTTGAAGAAGTAAGAAAGAGGATTGATGAGTGCGGAGCGATGGACATGATCTATATGGAATAAAAACCGAAAAGAACTGCGGATGCTGTGAATCAGGAACAAAAACAAAGTTGCTGGAAAGTCTCAGCCAATCTGGCAGCATCTGTGAAGGAAAACAGAGTTCACGTTTTGGGTCTGGTGACCCTTCCTCAGAACTGTTGTGAGGGTCACCGGACCTGAAACGTTAACTCTGTTTTTTCTTTCACAGATGCTGCCAGACCTGCTGAGATGATCTATATGGACTTCAATAAGGTGTTTGACAAGGTTCCTCATGGTAGACTGGTTACCAAGGTTAGATCACATGGAATTCAGGGAGAACTAGCCATTTAGAATCAGAACTGGCTCGAATGTAGAAGACAGAGGGTGGTGGTGGAGGGTTGCTTTTCAGACTGGAGGCCTATGACCAGCAAGCATTGGTGCTGGGTCCACTGTTCTTTGTAATTTATATAAATGACTTGGATGTGAACATAGGGGGTATGGTTAGAAAGTTTTCAGATGACACCAAAATTGGTGGTGTAGTGTTCAGTGAAGATGGTTACCTGGGAGTACAACAGGATCTTGGTCAGGTGGGCCAATGGGCTGAGGAGCGGCAGATGGAGTTTAATTTTGATAAATGTGAGGTGCTGCATTTTGGAAAGCCAGGACTTATACACTAATTGTTAAGGTCCTGGGGAGTGTTGCTGAACAAAGAGACCTTGGAGTGCAGGTTCATAGTTCTTTGAATGTGGAGTCCCAGGTAGATAGGAAAGTGAATAAGTCATTTGATGTGCTTGCCTTTATTGGTCAGTGCATTGAGTATAGGAGTTGGGACGTCATGTTGTGGCTATACAGGACATTGGTTAGGCCATTTTTTGGAATAATGTGTGCAATTCTGGTCTCCCTGCTATAGGAAGGATGTTGTGAAACTTGAAAGGGTTCAGAAAAGATTTACAAGGATGTTGCCAGGGTTGGAGGGTTTGAGCTATAGGGAGAGGCTGAATAGACTGGGGCTATTTTCCCTGGAGTGTCGGAGGCTGATGGCTGACCATATAGAGGTTTATAAAATCATGAGGGGCATAGATATGGTAAATAGCCAAGGTCTTTTCCACGGGGTGGGGGGGTCCAAAACTAGTGCATAGGTTAAAGGTGAGAGGGGAGAGATTTAAAAGGGACCTAAAGGGGCAACTTTTTCACTCAGAGGGTAGTGTGTTTATGGAACGAGTTGCCAGAGGCACTGGTGGAGGTTGACACAATTACAACATTTAAAAGGCATCTGGATGGCTATAAGAATAGGAAGGGTCTAGAGGGATATGGGCCACATGCTAGCAAATGGGAATAGATTTATTTAGGATATTGGGTAAGCGTGGATGAGTTCGACCAAAGGGTCTGTTTCCATGCTATACAACTAATGACTCTAATTGAATTTGCATATCTCGTCTCCAGTAATCTGGCCTGCCCACCTATTGAAGGAAGGTCAGTGCCTGTCTGCTAACCTGTTAAAAATTATTCTTTAGCTTTCATAGTCCTCTAGAATTTACATCTTTTTTGGGAGAGAGAAACATTCTTTCAGTAATTATTTTTATATCAGAAATTGATTTATGAAGCTCTTGTATAATATGCTCAATTTCTAGCCCTAGTCAATAGGGAATTGGGATAATGCAACTAATTGGACCAAAGGTGCTGTGTACATTATTCAGAAAAAGTATGTAATCAAATGTGTAATTATCATCTGAAGGCCACTGAGAGCTACATACTTTAGTTGCAATAATATGTCTTGGAGGGACATTAATGTGAGAAATATTTGGGAATATTACATTGTGTTGAAGATTGTGACACACTATGAATCAGTCATTAAACAAAAGCAGTGAAGAAAGATAAAATGCCACAGAATTCAAGGAAAGTGCGTTTTACATCAGAACAGTCACACATTATCTTGACAACGAAAGTGACCTAAGAATTAGCATTGATTCATCAATGTACCCATTAGTCCAGTTAAGAATAGTGAACAATTCAGTCATTCCATTCTAAGAAAAATGACTAAGTCCTAGAGGATACTGAGGCCAGAAAACATGATTTTTCTGTGCCTCTGTCTAAAATTGAAAGAGGTAGATTTGAGCTTGCTTATTTTGGGAGCAACAAAATGTCATCTCAGGATTCTGAAGAACATTTGACAAAGTTAATCCAATCAAATTGTTCATCATAACAAATAAATTACTCCATATCTATATCGATTTTCACAAAAAAATGTCTTGCAGCCAATGGATTACGTTTTGAGATGTAGCCATTGTCACAGGCAAACAGGGAGCCAATTCATGGGATCACAAACAGCACATGAGATGAAAGACCAGCTGACAGAAATGTTGAGCAACTTGCTGGATAAATACTGCATTCACCTACAAAGCCAATCGGATGCTGTTTAATGGCTCATCTGAGCAATGAAGCATTCACTCAATACTGCACTCAGGGAACAGGCTGCATTTATGTCTGGGCCCTGGAATGGTGTTTGAACCAGCTGGCAGCTTGTTTAACAAGGATGCACATGAGAAGTAAAGTTAGGGATACTTATCTAAATATACAGTAGTCAAATGACTACAGTATCTTACTAATTAATGCAAGTCATGTAAACAAGTTTGAGGCATGTAGAGGCATTTCTGAAGGCAGAAGAGATTCTAAAACATGGAGAGAAGTAAGGTTACTGGTCTTTTTGGCTCTTTTATGAAGTTGATAACACAGAGTGGAATCTTGTGCTCCTGGAGTTAGAAACAGTACTTAGAGTGGTTGTGGTGTGATAAAAGATGTGTGTTAGGTGGATTGGCCATGCTAAACTGCCCATAATGTCCAGGGATGTGCAGGCTAGGTGGGTTAGCCATGGAATGCAGGGTTACAGGGACAGGGTAGGTGCGTGGGTCTGGGTGGGATGTTCTTCAAAGGGTCAGTGTGGACCTGATGGGCTGGATGGCCTGCTTCCACACTGTAGGCCTTCTGTGATTCTATGAACTGTGTTCTACGTTATATCAAATCATGATTGTGCATTTGTATCTGCACCTTCACTTCATCTGTTTTGCTCTGAGTCATGTGTTTTCAGACTTTAGTTTTGTCCTTTATTATTATTTTTGTCACCTCAGGCTTGTCTATTAATTTTACTCTTAGGTTTGAACCCTCTATCCCTTCCTGTAATGGTCAGTTTGATGTATCCCATATTAATACTTTCCCCCCTTCCTTTGTTTTGTCACATCTTCCTACATTTTATTCCTTGTCCCTACTACGTATTTAGCTTAAACTTTCCTTAATATGTAGCTCGCTAGAACTTTGGTTCCAGCATTGTTTAGGCAGAGAATGCCCCATTGGTGTGGATCCATAGTGCCCAGGGATGTGCAGGCTACGTGGGTTAGCCGTGGGAAATGCAGGGTTACAGGGATAAGGTAGGTGGGTGGGTCTGGATGGGACACTCTGCAGAGGGTCAGTGTGGACTCGATGGGCTGAATCGCCTGCTTCCACACTGTAGGGATTCCATTATTCCAGAGATAATTACCTTTTGAGGCTCTGCTTTTCACGTTAGTGCTTCGTTCCTCTTCCTGCTTATTGTCGTCCATACGTACGTGGACCAAGTTGACTGGACCTTACCCCCTCTCACTGCAAGGTCCTCTCCCAAGCTCTGACAGCAGTCAGGTAACACAGGAGGAACATTGCCAATCCTCCTCACTGAACCGACCTCTACATTCCTTTTCGCTTCCACTCACTTGAATGGCTTCCTAGAGCACAGTGCCATGGTCAGTTGTGTTTATCTACCTTACACCCCTTACACTCATCCAAACAAAGTTTCTCAGACCTGCTGCATATTTGGAAAGGCTTATGCTGCTCCACCTCCTGAATCCTCGTGTTTGCCCCCATCACAGTCACGTCCCCATGCCCCTGACTGCTGACCGAAACCTGAGGGATGTGCCTGCCTCCTGGGGAAAACCATGTCCAGGTACCATTCCCTAACCTGCAGCTCAGTCTCCCTCTAATAACCTCTGTGCCAAGGGTCATTAACACTCAGCCCAGACTTCTTTGTTCTGGATCAGACTGGTACACAGGCCTTCACACAACACCTTTATTATATTTTAATTAATGTGTTTTATTAATTAATTTATAATTAATTACCAAGCTCTCTAACTCACCAAACTCTCAGGTTTGTACACTGTTAGAGAGGATAAAAGATGATTAAAAAGCAAAACTAAAAGAAATGAATGTAAAATTTGAAACTAAGATGAAGCATTGTTATTGCTGCAGGTTAGAGTAGTAATATGTTTTACATGCTGAGACTACAGAACCCATCTCCAGGGCTAGGAGACACAGTTAAGTCAGCTTGAAAGGTTAAAATGAAGGACTTCATTATTGACACTCCTTAGAAACTACTGAGTAACCACGCATTAAGGGAACGTTTTTAAACGTATTGAGAGATAATGCAGAGCAGCAATACCTGAACTGAAATAGAATAAATAAACAAGGAGTTCAGTGACAAATTATTGGACAGAATCCTACTGCAATCAGTGTAAACACAAGTGCGATAAGTGAAGCATTGCACTGTTGCATTTCAATTTGTTTTTACAGCATGCAGACTTCCTATATTCATATGTATCTGAAAGATAACTGAAAATAATCCACTGAAAATTAATACTGGAAAGGAAAATTCTGGAAGGACTGTGCATAAATTAAGTTGAGAAGGAAGTACTAATTAAATGACCTAAATTTAAATGTGTTCACTTAAACCGATTCTTTTTTAGTAACACCGAGTGCTGCACTGATGGCAAGGTGCAAATCAATTTTTCACTTTTGAAGTGTTGCAATTTTTAGCTGTAAGTAAATGCTGGAGACCATAATGGATATTCCAGCCTGCAGTGTTTGATCTTGTAAAGAAATCATGAGCATGATTGGAAAAGGTAAAGGTTGGTTTTATGCCTAATTTGACCTGGGAGAGAGATGTTCTCTCTGCACGTACAAACAATCTGAAGAGCGTTATGTAGGATATTCCTGAAGAACTGCCAGTTTCACACTGGTCGATGGCAACTTCCTTCTTTCCTCATGGGACTAGTGTTCTCACAAGAATGGCATCTCACTCCTTTTGGCTTACTGCCTGCATGTATTGAATGGTTGAAGTTGTGGTATTTATGCGGTAATCAATCTTGTTTTGCTGATGGCATTGAAGCAAGGGAACTCTCCACTCATCTCGAAAAATGCTCTGAAGGATCTAGCAATTGCCCCGTCTTGGTTTCCTCCTTTCCCAACAGCAGTTTAAATCTGACGCCAAGTAAAAGGGCTACCTTAGCAGGTAGCAGCAGTGGTGTTGACGAGCAGTCAATCAGCATGAAGTATTCACGGACCAAACCACAAATTTAAAAGCACTGACTTTCATTTCTTCACTTTGTATTTTAAATTTACAAATTACAAAATAAATATTCGTTAGAATACAATAGATGCAAAAAATGAAGACTTTTTTCCATCATTAAGGAGAAATTTAACATTCCACAAACATAAAATAAGACTTTCAGCCTCAGTGAGAGCACTTAGCCATAATTGTTGAAGTTAGTGTACCGTTAACCTCATTCAGCAAAGTGTGACATGTTTTTCAGTGCAAGTTCTGGGCCCTCTTGTGGTGCAGTAGTAGTATCCCTACCCCTGAACTAAGAGACCCAAGTTCAAGTCTCATCTGCTGCAGAGGTGTGTTACAACATCTTTGAACAGGTTAGTTATAAAAATATGTTCAATTAAAAAAAAAGCGCTGGTCCTCATCAATTAAATTGATTTTTAGTGATTGCAGTCTGAAGGTGCACTTAACATGCACTCAGCAGAAATGTAGAATCACTGATGCAGTTTTTGTTCTTCCGTGTTACTTGGTGAATGTATGGACTCCAGAAGTTATTATCAGTCTTGATGGTGTAATGACAGTAAAACTAACAGTTATACCTTCCTTGTGAAGGCAAAATCCAGGCTGAGCTTGACTTACCTCAGAAAGTTGAGGCTCATGATTTTAAGTTGATTAACCTTTTCAATAACATGAACATAATGAGTATTAATTGTTGCCATTCAACCTATCTCATACTGAAAATGTGAACTGGTGAAAGCCAGACATTACTCCTATTTATGAGAAAAGGAGGGAAAGGGGGCCCAGGAAACTGCAAGTCAGTGAGTTTGTAAAGAATTCCTATTTAAAGGTAGGTCCAAGGATCGGTATGGAATTTTACTTTTGAAAAGTCAGTGAAAGAGTGATATTGCCAAGTTAAGGTATCGATTTTTGTCTGAGAATGTGACAGTGAGGGTAAGATAATATTCTGGGTGCATTTAAATTTCAGTGAAGTCTGTGGTGCAGTTTTTGTGGGAAGGCTGATACTGAAAATAAAGAAGACATGCAGTGGAAATATTTTACAATGCATGTGTGCTTAGTTGATGAGTAGAGTCCAAAGGGTTATTGTTCCTAATGTGGTGGAATATAACCAGTGAGGTCTGACAGAAACCTTTTTTTACTTTTTTTTGTTTAATACCACAAATTATCTCAAGCCATCTCTCACGAGTGCAATTTCTAATTTGCAAACACCCCGTGCAGTTTCAGATTTATGTTATTTTTAATGTTTTACAGGAATTATTGAAGTAATATATATTGCTCTGCCATTTCCAGTCCAGTGTTCCTGAAAATAATGATCTTAGCAGATGAATCTAATTGGTGTTAATTAAATGCATGGTTCTACTGTGGTGCATTTCAGTAACGTGTTGTTGCCTAGTGCAAAAATGAGTCATTCTCTTTCAAAGACACAGATGTATCTGTCTTGGTATTTTTGTATTATGCACATATTGTTTTTATTACTCCACAGCTTTTGCTGAGGTAGCCTTCTGATACAGTGGATGCTTTTTTTACGCCATAAAAGAACATCTTAACAGTCCTTCCAAAATCTCCAATGATAATATGTATTTTGAATGCTCCCATTGTCAAGTTAGTGAACAGTTTTAAAGAAGAAGGCGAGCTCACAAATGAGAGTCGTGACATTGTCACCAAACATTACCAACTGCACCTTTTACAAAACAACGATGAAATTTGAAGCTATGAACCTGCATTGTCGCAGTAATGTGCAGACTATTAATTAAATTATAAGTAAAATATAAATAAGATCTGATCTGAGCTGCTTCTGTTATATTTCTTTCACTATCCCCAACATATAGGCTGTCTAGCATGAATGAGGTCACAAAGGATGCAAAGAATTTTGTCCAGCCCTGTTTGGGCACTTGCTAATCCTGCACATTATATTCAGCCTCATCACCGAAACTTTTATTCATGCCTTTTGGCAACTCTTGAATAGATTTCCCCAGCATCTTTAGTTGCTTTCCATCCTTTTACTTTTCATAAATTCCAATTTGTCCAGTTTGTGTCTCAAATTAAAACCCATTTTCCCTTTTGCCCTTGTCCTTGCTCCCCTTTCATCGGCATTTTGAATTTAAATTGTTTGTCCTCATCATTAAATTTCTCCACTAATCTGACCCATCAATTGCTTACCTCACATTGTCTTCAATTGCATAAGTCCACCAAAGTTGACTGAGTCCTCAGCTACTTTGGCCCTTTCCCTACGAATGCTCTACCTGAGCCTGCACTGTCACTGTCTAATTTTATTTCTAAACAAACAAAAACCCCTCTCAATCTCTGTTTTCAATTTCTGTTTTCAACTAAGGGTCAGCTACCCTCCCATCCCATCCCTCCAGTCTTGAAGCAGCATTCGTTTGTTGACCTGTTCCCTCCTCATGCAACCACCGTGAAAACATGTCTGATGTTTTCTGTTTTAAAGGCGCTTTGTTGATGCAGGTTGTTGCTGGTTTTCAGGAACATGAGGAAATCATTAGACAGGGCTACAGGACTTTGTGCAGGTAAATAAATAGACTGTAGCTCCTGATTAACTCTTTGCTGATTAATGTTGACAAGAGGAAAGCTGACAGAGTACTGAAGAAATCCAGCTAGAAAGCAAAAGCTTGCTTTCTGTGCCAGGATAGGAGTGAAAGGTAGCAGTAAGGCTAACATAAATGCATCAGATCATGTGGTAATGTGGAGATGGTAGGTTTCTATAGAAGGACAGGTTATCTCTGTAACTTCATCTGGCCATACGATCTTTAGATTTGCATTCCTCCAATTCTGGCCTCTTGTGCTAGCTGTCATGTCATCCCTCTCTATGCCTCACTGTTTCCACCTCCTCTCTCCTTTAAGATACTCCTTAAAACCTACCTCTTTGACCAACCCTTTGGCCATCTACCCTAAAATCTGATGAATTGGTGTCCAAAGTTTGCCCGATTACACTTTTGTGAAGGATTTCGGGAAATTTTAATGTTAAAAGCATTTTGTAATGCAAGATCAAGATTTTTGGAGATCAGACAAACATCAGCCCCATCAATAGAATAAACATCCAAATATTATTTTATGTGTTTTCTTAAAACAAAATGGCTTCCTGATGCTAAATAAAAACCGAAAGAACTGTGGATGCTGTAAATCAGAAAACAAAAACAAAGTTGCTGAAAAAGCTCAGCAGGTCTGGCAGCATCAGTGAAGAAAAATGAGGAAAGATCACCAGACCCGAAATGTTAACTCTGATTTTTTTCTTCACAGACCTGATGAGCTTTTCCAGCAACTTTGTTTTTGTTTCCTGATGCTATTTGTTTCTCAGTATGGCAATCATTCAATGTCTACGTTACGTGTGTCTGTTTATTTCCTGGGAGCAAGCCATCAAAAATTTCTTATGGCACCTCCGAGACTAGTGTAAGTTGCTGACTGATGATCTGTATTTGATTTGACATTCAGCGCATGTAGGATGTTAGGAGTTTCATTTCCTACCAGCAATTGCTGAAGAGGTGGACCCACAGCTCAAGGCAGTTTCTTTCCCAGCATTGCAATGAATTATTTAGAAGCTTAATAAGTTACTTTTCCTGCTGCTGAGGTGAGCTATGAAGTTAAATATCATTTCACTGCCAGAAGTGGAAATCCAGGCAATGATTTAAAAGGACAAGTATTGGGAGGGTTGCGTAAAAATATCGAGCAGCTGTGCTGCACACATATTGCCAAAAGCTCCATCAAGTTTGTTTCCTTGCATTTTCTCTCTCTTTTCTTCACTCTCCCTTCCAGCCCCTGTCTTCACTGCAAATTAGTCTAATTTACCCTAAAACATCTTTAGAAGTTTCCTTTACAAGAGTCATAGAGTCATACAGCATGGAAATGGAGCCTTCAGTCCAACCAGTCCATGCCAAACATAATCCCAAACTAAACCAGTCCCACCTGCCTGCGCTTGGCCCATATTCTTCTAAACATTTCTTATTCATGTCCTTATCCAAGTGTCTTTTAAACATTATTACTGTACCTGCATCCACCACTTCCTCTGGAAGTTCATTCCACAAACCAACCACACTTTTTTTTAAGAAAAAGCCCCTCATGTCTTTTTTAAGTATTTCTCCTCTCAGCCTAAACATATGCCCCTTGAAATCCCCCACTCTAGGAAAAAAAAACAGACATTCACTTTATCTGCACCCCTCCTGATTTTATAAACCTCTATCAGGCCACTCCTCAACTTTCTATGCTCCAGTGGGGGAGAAAACATCCCAGCCTATCCAGCCTTTCTTTATAACTCAAACTCTCCAGTCCTGGCAACATCCTGGTAAATCTTTTCTGAACCCTCTCCATCTTAATAATATCTTTTATTCATTCATAAGCATCATTTGCAAGACCAGCATTTATTGACCATCCCTAATTGCCTTTGAGAAGTTGACCATGACTTGCCTTCTGGATCTGCTGCGGTTCATGTTATGTAGGCACATCTGTACTTATTGTCTGTGTAGTCGTTCAGTACAACTGAAGCTTCATAGGCCATTTCAGAGTTAAGAATTAAACAAGTCACTGTGGATCTGGAGTTACATGTAGTACGTGCATGATCTTACTGAACACAATGAGTTCATAATAATCTGGTAGTTTCATGAATGTTATTAGAGATACCAGCATTATATTCCAGATTTTATTAAGTAATTGAATTTACGTTCCTAAGGCAACGACATGGGATTTGAACTCATGTCTCTGGAACATTTAATGGGCCTCTGGATTAAGAATCTAGTAACATACCACTCTCAGTGTCTTCCTTCTTGCACAGTGACTGAGTTGCTATGTGTTGAGGCCGCAAGAGGTAATGAGCTCGAACAGAGGAGTCGGATATTTTCATTAGTTTGTTTTCACTTGTTTCCTTTTCCCTCTTTAACACAAACTCAGCTTCAAATTGCTAGAGTCCAGATGATCACCGCTCAATTAACTCTGCAAACAGTAACCATGTGGAATGTTGGGCATCAACACCAAAAGAGCAAGAGTTCAAATCTGCTGAAATATTCACACAGCTTCAATATAGTCCCTTTTTTATATAACAGGGAGAAATTGGGCTCATCCTATTTATCGGAGTGTAACAGTGTTTTTAAGATGTGAGCACGTGCTGTAATAACACATAACACCCTAGATGCCATTATAAAGAAAGGGATCACGTGTACACTTCATGTTGACAGGGCGTATGCAGGTTTATTTCCTGCTGGCTAAGGATCTGACCCAGTGCTGACATAGTGATTGCAGCATGGCTGGTGAACCTCAAGCATTTCTGGGCTTCGAAGAGCTGGCTTCAGGGTGCATCATCATGATATGGGTCAGCAGCAGTTTGAGCTGGTTGGGTGACGACAACAGCTTGGGCACTGATAAAGTAGCAGTGATGGCGCCACGAAAGCTGTCTTCCTGAGAGGGTTGCAGGTTTGTAGTTTAAGGAGCCCTTGCTCCCCTCCTGGAAATAGTAATCTATTGTTGGCAGATTGCTGGATTGCTATAACACTGGTGTTCCCAGTCAGCATTGCAGCTTCCACTATAGCACCCAGACATTTGGTGGAAGTTTCTTTTGTGCCAGTGAAAATTGAGACATCAACTGTGCTCTCAGACATTGAATACAGGCTTTCTGTCAACCTTTCCCATGCATAAAGTATTTATTTTTCTTTGTAGTTGCTTTGGTGGCTTTTCATAGCCTGGCCTGTCAAAGTCCTCATCAGAGCAACCAACAGAATTCTTACACAACCTGCCCTCTGGTGATAACAAGGTGTGGAGCTGGAGGAACACAGCAGGCCAGGCAG